ATAGGTACTATTGTTTTAAACTTACAGATGCAAAACTGATATACGAAGCAATTAGCTTACTTGTCCAGGACTCCAAAACTAGTAAATTGTGGAATAGCCAGGAGTTTGTTTACTATGTGAAAGACACTTTTCTAAGTTCTGTATGTGTATTCATTTATTTCATCTGTACAAGTCTACCTACAAGGCAATAGTATTTTCTTTTCTTTAGAAACATCTGCACAGCAGCCAGCAGATGGCATAGCAGTTATCATTGGACTCTCACAGGGTAGACCGCATTTCAAGTCCCAGACCTGGTGGCTTGAAACTCATGCTAGGCGTGTTTGCATGCATGCCCAAGATCCTGGGAGGAGAGTGGAGGAGAAACGATTGCAATGTGGCCATCCCTCCTGGAGGATGTCTCACTTTCCCTCTCACTGTCTGTCTTTCTTTCTGACAAGTACATGCACCATAAGGCAAATACCTCTGAAAAAGAAAAAGAAAAGAAACAGAGAAGGAGGGAGGGAGGAAGAAAAGGAGGAAAATAAAAGAGAACTATCTTCCAAAAGGGCACTGAAAGCTTTGGTAAAATTATCCCCTTAGAAGTAATCTGCAGGTTCCAGGCATCCTAAAGAAGACCAGATCAGAAGTTTTCAAGCTATATTCCAAATATCACTAGGAACTCCACTCAGAGGTGTGAGTGATAGCAGAATAAAGATCGAGTCTCTGAAGTGCCAACATCTCAACCTGGACACACTTCACACAAACTCTCTGTTGTTTTACATATTGTTCTCCAGCTTGTGACTTAATCTGAACAAAGGGTGCAATGAGTTTAAAGAGTTTGAAAGCCACTGAACTAGACGACTTATGAGACCTGTCTCACATAGAAGATCCAGTGACTCCACTTCCCACCTAACTTCTGACTACTACTGCCATTTGGTCTCCTTTCCTGTCATGCTCTGCAGAAGTGAATATGGGGATAGGGTTCAGCTCATCAAAGTTGGATTGCAGAATAATTTCAGAACTGAATGTTTCTGTTTCTGTTTTCTTCCCTTCACCTTCTTCATTAGAACATGATCAATTTTTGAGAAACTGACAACTGCAGCATCCAAGGTGGGAAGTGGGATGGAAATAGAAGGCATCACATCTGTTTCAGAGGTGACATTTTAATAAAATGCAGATACATCCCCAGAACAGTTGCATTATCATTAGGCTATCTTTGAGTTCTAAGAAACCTGAATTTACAATGGATATTGTCACTAAAACAACAACACAAATACTTGAGCCTGAAAATGTTCTTCAAAGGCTTGAAATGTGAGGCTTATGTGGCCCAAGGTATGGTTCAAAAACAGTTCCTTAACATGATTTTTTTTTTCTTTTGTGACAAAGTCAGTTTTCCTCATTAGCAGCTGTCTACCCTAAAGCATTCTCATAATACTAAAATGATAGTTCTGTATACAGGAGTGGTAGAATATGCCTACCCCATGTCTTCTTACAGCAGAATTTAATTTATACACCCAGGGTTGGGGTGGAGGGCGCATTTAGGGCTTTAGAATTATTCATATCTACATATAACACTTGATATGTGGGCATGTTTGTGATTCTTCCAGTAGAGAGGTCAGCATTTTGCTGTTGGTATTTACTACTGAGGTATATTTTGCAAACTTAATATTGTTTTGAAGAATGAAGCTTAGATGGGTTCATGTTTAAATGACTGATTCCGGTTAAAGTTAATGGATCAGATCTGACTAGGTAAGTAAGATAGTCACTTTGGGAGGATCATTTGTAGATTCTCCAGTCCTATTTAATGAGCTGGAAAAGTAATTTACTAAGTTTAATGTGGAAACTGGAAAAAATTTATTCCAAAACCCCCAAATACTTTATGCCTTGAGACCATAGCTTATTCACCTTGTAGGGTCTGGTACATTGCCTTCTCCAACAATCCATCCTGAGTTCTTAAAGATGCTATTGTTTTGTTGAGATAAAACAAGAAAACATCATGCAAAAGCAAAAGGTTATAGATACAGTTTTAAAATATGAGACCTGCAGATGGCATAATGGTTACATCATTAGACTCTCACATAGTTGACCATAGTTCGAGTCCTGGACCTGGTGACTTGAAACACACAAGGCATGTGTGCATGCATGTCCAAAATCCTCAGAGGAAAATGGAGAAGGGATTATGGTGTGGCCATCTCCCTATCCCCCCCCAGGGAGTGATTTCTCACTTTCTGTCTCTCTGGTGAGTGCACATGCCCTATAGCAAAAATCTCTCCAAAATATAATAATAATAATAATAATAATAATAATAATGCATAGATGCATGAAAGTGGAGAAAAATCATACAGTAATTAACATTTTAGCATAAATAGCTTTATAGCAGGAGAGGGTTCCTTCTTCTTTTTTTTTTTTTTTTTTTTTTTTTTTTTTTTTTTAGTAGCTGCGTTGTTTGAATTCTTTGTTTATTTTGGTCTAAATCCCTTACCAGTATATAGCATGCAAATATTTTCTCTTATTCTGTGGGATGTCTCATCACTTTGCTCAGTATTTCCTTCACTGAGAAGCTTTTTCGTTAGAAATAACTCCATTTATATGTTTTTGGTTTTATTGTCTGTGTTTTTGAGGTTTTATCCACCATTACACCAACTGCTGGTCCTGTCTGGGGGGGGTGTCTTCTTTAGGTAGGGAGTTTTTGTTTGCAATTGTTGGATGTGAGGAAATTACAAAATAAAGGTAATCACTATGTAGTAAGCTCTTCCTAGAAGAACATTGGAAAGGAAGAGAAGAAAAAGACACTAAAATTGTCAGCACTAAAGATATTTTGGGCTTGCCTTATCATTTTTCTCAAGAAATTTCATTATCTTGTCCTATTAATACTATTTCCAAAGGCCACCTTGTTTGACGTGTTTGGAAATTGGCAGGTCTGCCACAGTTTTTCTGCCCTAAGTTTTCTTAAGGGTTTTACCATCTGCCTGCTACATACTAAGCACATGAACACACATGGTCTCATTTAATCTCCACTATAGAATTATGAAGTAAATGCTACTTAACAGGTCCTTACATGGTACTCATTCTGCACTGCACTTAGCATTTTACCACTTTTAACTAGTTGATCTTCATAACAACTCTTAATTATAGGTACAATAATTTTCCATTGAACAGTTGCAAAAACTGAGATTTAAAGAAATTAGCTGACTTGCCCAGGGCCCTACAGCTAGTATGTAGGGCAATTCTATTCCATTATGGAATGAATATTTGTGTTCGGCATTCTAGTTACAGAATTAGCACTTTTTATTTATTTATTTATTTATTTATTTTGGAGAGGTTTTCGCTATAGGGCGCGTGCACTCGCCAGACAGACAGAGAGACAGAAAGCGAGAAATCACCCACCAGGGGGGATCATCATGCCGCAATCCCTTCTCCTCTATTCTCCTCTTGGGATCTTGGGCACACACGCACACGTGCCCGGTGTAAGTTTTAAGCCACCGGGTGCAGGACGCGAACCGCGGTTGACTACGTGGGAGTCCAGCGACATAGCCATTACACTAACTGCTGGTTCCCCAGAATTAGCACTTTTAAACACTGTTATAAGTGATATTATCCTTATCAGTGAAGAAATAGAAGTTCAGAGAATAACAAATTAATTGTCCAAAGATATATAAGCAATAAATAACAGAGCTGGGTCTCAGACTCAAGCAACCTATAGATAGAACCTACAAATCTCAACCCTTAACACCGTCTTTTCTCCTTCGATCACTCATTCCTAAAATGCTGCTCATGGATGTGTTAGCTTAGAGGAAAAGCCACACACACCCATGCTTTCACATCTAAACAGAATCCACTGTAGCACTTAAAGTAATGATAAGAAAAGAAAAGGAAGAAGTTAGTTTTATCATTTATGTAACTTAGCATCCAGTTTACTTTTACAATTCTCAATTGATTTGGAGTTGTAGCTTATTATGAGAGAGTTGAATCTTTGGTGCCAGTGTCAAAACCAATTTTAATCTCATGTAGAACAGTACTTCTTCATCTTTAATGAGCATATGAATTACCTGGAAATTTTGTTGAAATATAAATTCTGATTCAGGGTTCTGACTAGGTCTGAGACTACATTTCTAGCAAGTTTCCAGGTAATACTGACACTGCTGATACACGGTCATATTTTGAGTGGCAAAGCTGGAGCATTGAGTTTGTACAAACCAAGCTTAAAGATTTATCTAGAACTCCAGAGTTCAAATTGGAAAGAGAGTGTTTTCATAAATGGAAGAACACTTGGAAAAGGTCAACACAAGGCCATGGGATAGGACTCATGAGATAAGAATTTGAGCTCCACAAACTCTCATGGTTAGAAAGGATGTTAAAGGTCATCTAGTCTAGTCATCCAACTAATGCTTGAATCCTTTCACATCCCTGCCATGCCATATTAGCCCTTAGTTAAAGAATTATCTGCATTGAATGAAACTAAACTTCAACAGAATAAGAGAAATTTCAAAATGGTGGCTGAATCACAGAAACCACCTAAGAACAAAAGACTAAGGATTGAAGCTGTGAAGTCTCACACCTGTCTGGGTAGATATTTTCTTCCATAGTATGTTTTTCAGAATCTTCAGATATTTTTTTCAAAAACATTGAAATCTTATGATTTTATTTCAAAAAGAAAAAGAAAAGCCATTCCATCAATCAATCAGCTGGAAGTGCTTCTTGCCCCCAAGCTTTTGCCTCCTACTATGAGATGAAGATTCAGTGCCGATTGATGGTGAGAAACAGTGACAGATGTGTGGCAACTGGGCTGCTTCCTGCTTGGTTTGTATACTGACCATGCATTCCAGGACCCTTGAGAAAGAAGATATTTTCAAGGATCAGGAATCATGAGACCAGGATCATGTTCATTTCATTTTGATTTTGCAACCTGAACCAAAAGACACTCCTGTTATTAGGACTGCTGACTGGGAGATGCCAGCTTTTCTTTTCCAAACACCTATTTCTCAGGCTGTTGTTTGACAGCTCTCTGCTTTCTGTTTCAGGTGCCAGGTGATAGTGAAAAACAATGGAAGGCAGCCCTGGTTGTATTGACTGAGAAAGACCTTTTAATCTATGACAGCATGCCACGGAGGAAGGAAGCCTGGTTCAGTCCAGTTCATACATATCCTCTTCTTGCCACCAGGTAACCATGACCTTGGGTTTGGATATGATGTGTTTGTAGTTTGATACTATTTTGACTAATTACTATTATTTCAACACATTATATTATTACTTCTTATTGTTTTTGCAAGAGCTAGTCTTCCTCAAGAATATAGCCACATATTTTCAGCCAGATTGATGATCACTTATGGAATTTGGGTACCACAGAGACAAAGAACAAAATTCATCATCAAAGAACAACATCTGAAAAGATCTCAGTCTAGGCACTTTCCTGACTTTCCATCTCATTTCCTTTGAAATGAACTAGACACATGTGTTTACAGTCTTAAAGTCCAAGTAGAATCATCAAGTAACAGTCTTCACTGGGTGGAACAAAGAATGTCATGTAAGACTCTCTCATTGAGCTTCTTAAGGCTGGCCTAGCACAAGAGCACCCATAAGTGAGGTTTTTTTCTCAGTTATGTTATGCTTCCTTTGAAAGTGTAGCTCCAGATTCTTTCTGTTTTCTAGGACATTCAGTAGATATTTCTTATTCATGTGAAATCCAAACTTTTTTGAAAAGATCACTTTGTTGAGTATGATTGACATATACAAAAAGCTGAACATACTAATGTATACAATTTTATGAATTTGGAGATAAATGTACACCTGTGAAACCATTACCATAAACAATGCCATAAATATATTCATTATCTCCAAGATTTATTTCTTTTCTCCTAATTTTATTAGTGTGTGATAAGCACACATGACATCACATCTATCCTCTTAGCAAAATTTTAAGTATATATAATATTAACTATGTTGATCACTATAGGTACTATACTGTAGCACAAATCTTCAGAATTTACTCATTTGTATTATGGAAATATTTTATGTTTTGTCCAAAACCTCCCCATTTTTTCCTTCATCCAACCTTTGATAACTACCATTCTACTCCCTGCTCCCATGAGTCTATTTAACTTGCTTATATAAGTGGATCAAATAGTAGTATTTATTCCTCTGTGTCTGATATAAACATTTAGTACAGTGTCCTTCAGTTTCATCCATACTGTTACAAATGGCAAAATGTTCTTCTTTATTAAGGCTGAATAATATTTGATATCAGGTAAATTCACTTTTTCTTTATCCCAGTCACCCATCAATGAGCATTTGGAACCATTACACTCTTGATTTCAAGATATATTGAAAGTGCTATATTTGATAATGGTTTGTCCCCCAAAAGTTTAAGTTTTAAAATTTGGTGCCCAATATAATGATGTTAGGAGGCAGTGATGCATAGTGGTCAATGATTGAATCATGGAAGCATTAACCTTATGAATGAATGCTGTCTCACAAAGAGACAGAGAGAGTTTTAGCTGTGTGAGAAGGGGTTAGTTCTCATGTGAGAAGGGGTTAGTTCTCATGTGAGCAGGTTGTTTAAAAAGGAAGATGGATGACTCTAATTTGTTCTCTCTGCATTTACCAAGCATTCTCTCTGATTCCATCAGCTATGTTGTGATGTAGGCTGGTCTGATTCTATCCCCATGCCTTTGGATTTCCCAGCCACCAGAATCATGACTCAAATAAACCTCCACTTCTTTATATATTACCTGGTCCCAGGTATTTTTGTAAGCAATTCAATAATATACTAAGACACAAACTACAACAATCAAAATAGTATGGTACTGGTATAAAAACATACAGGGGGCCAGCAGGTGGTGTGGTGGTTAAGGGCACTGAACTCCCACATGGCCAACCATGGTTTGAGTCCCAGGCCTGGAGGCTTGCTTTCTCAATTTGTCTCTTTCTCATTCTATCCCACTCTGGTCAAATTAAAATAAATGGATAAATAAAGTTAATAATTCTTTTTTAAAATATAGGCTATTGGAACAGAATAGAGTAAAAAATAAATCTCCTGACTTACAATTAACTGATCTTTCATAAGGATGACAAGAATACACAATGGGAAAATAGCAGTCTCTGATAAATTATGCTAAAAAACTGAATATCCTAGTGAAAAACAAAACAAACAAACAAACAAAAAAAACACTGAACTCTTATCTCTGTCATTTAAAAAAATGGAGTAAAGACTTAAATGTAAGACATGAAACCATAAAATTCCAAGAATAAAATGTACAGGGAAATCTTTCTGACATTGGCCTTTGTAAGAAACAATCAAAAAAATTAAAAGACAACCTACAGAATGGGAGAAAAGATTTGCAAAACACATATCTGATAAAGGCTTATCCAAAAAATATAAGTATGCCTTATATCTCAATTGTAACACAAAGTAAAAACAAACAGAAAATCCAATTTTAAAAATGGGCCAAGGGGGTCATCAGATGGCATGAAGTTTAAGATGACTGCATCCCATATGGCTGACTGCGCAGTTCAAGTCCTGGACTCATGGCTTAAGAGACACTCCAGGCACATGTGCATACATGCCTAAAATCCCAAGAGAAGAATAGTGGCATGACCATCCCTCAAGGGGATACTTTCTCACTTTCTCTCACAAATTCTTTCTGGGCCTCTCTCTGTCTTTGATGAGTGTACATGTCTTACACAAAACTTTTTAAAAAGGGGGAAGGGGTGTCAAAGGACCTGAATAGACATTTATCCAGAGGAGACACACAAATGGCCAATAGGTATATATAAGGCGCTTGCTATATACCTATTGGGTATATAACAGGGTGCTCCTCATCATGAGTCATCAGGGAAATACAAATCAAAACCACAATTAGATAACATCTCATACCTGTTAGAATGGCTATAATCAAAAGGTGGAACAATTAATTACATGTGTAATCACGGCTGTAGAAAAGAGAAAATCCTTGTCCATCACTGAGGGGTTGTAAACTGGTATAGCCACTATGGAAAACAGTATGAAGAGTCCTCCAAATATTAAAAAACAAAACTATGATGTAGGAACCCTACTTCTTTGTATACATCTAAAGGAACTTAAATCAAGAATTAAGAGAGGTAGCTGCACTTCCATGTTCTTTTCAGCATTCATAGTAGCTTTACTTATGGTGCATATAAGATCATGAAATATCATCTTAATGAGTCATATTCTTATTCCTTTCATTAGAAGCCTACATCTTGAGAACAAAAGCAAGTTAAACTTGCTTATTGGGCCAATGGTGGTGATGCAGGTGATGAAGCACCACTGTGTGCTATTGGAGCCCTATAGGGGACCCAGGTGCAGGTATAGGATTAACCTGAACCTTCTGGGTACACCTTTGATCCTGATGGGCCATGAAAACAGAGGAAGGATCATAGTATGGCTAGGACCTTGTCAAGAGTATCTCCCTTTCTTTCTCTCTTTTGCAAAAGAAATAAATAAAATAGCCTAATAAAGAAATACCTGAATCTTGCCTTCAAGTAGCTAATGACACAAACATGGGTTCTGTTGCTAGCTCTTCTTGTATACATGTTATGACAATAAGTGGTTTCATTCCTTCTATGCCCTTTTCTTTAACTAGACACTAGGCATGATAGTGCAATATCTGTGGCCTTTTTGGTTTACTGCCTGACAATACTGGGCCCTCAGATGTCTGTTGAATGAATTATTGAGTGGTGTGTGGCAAATTCTTGAAGGGATTTGGTCCCAGAGTTTGGTCCAACAGGCAAAGCATAAAGTACTGAGGTTTTGAGGCATCTGTCCTGATCAAAAGGAAGACAGAAATACCATGGGTTCCATGTCTTGGAAGGCCTGAAATGTCAACAGGTTGTTGACAGTTGAAATGCCGAGAAGAGAATGAGACCCAATAAGAGAACAAGGTAACTGATTAAAATAGCAACAGTGGGGCCAGCAGGTGATAGGGAGTTAGGGCAGCTGGATCCCATATGGTTGACTTCACGGTTTGAATTCTGGACCCAGCAGCATGAAACCAGTCACATGTGTGTGCATATCCAAAATCCAGAGTGAAGACTAGAGGAGAATAGATTGCACCATGGCTATCCCCCCATTGGGGGTTATTTCTCACTTTCCTTCGCTATCTGTCTCTCTCCGACTCTCCTTAGTGAGCACACACCCTATAGAAGAAAACAAAAAAAAAAGGCAACAATGAATAAAGCTCCTTAAAAATCCTTATTTCCAGTCATGATTGACAATGGAGACCAGAAAGGAAGACTTGAAAATAGAAATTATTGGCTGAAGTTGTAAATAGAGGAAGTTTTCAGAGGAAAGGAACTAAGCCTTTCACAATTAATAGATGAATAAGTTACTTAAGTTTTGAGCCCCTTAAACCTCAAATTTTTTGGCCAAATGTTATTAAAGTACAATAGAACCTTATAATAAAAGATCTTGGTCCAGCCTGATAGCACAGTTCATAGCATACTGAACTGCAGTGCTGGAAACTGCATGTCCAACCATTCAGTTTGAAATATGCCAGGCATGCATGTATGTATTGGACAGGAGGAAGGGATCACAGTGTGATCAGAACCTGTTAAGGGTGGATATTTCTCTCTCCCTCTCTTTCTCTTTCTCTCTCATGCGCATGCCATCTACCAACAATTTAAAAACTTGCAGTAATCATTCTACAGTGTTCATATACACATTCAGGCTATGACTTGGGTCCCATTTAAATTCAGCCCAATTGCTATCACTTATTGCAGTGTACATCCATAATCCTCATCCGTGAGCACTGATATTGATTCTAAGACAGTCACACAAGTGAAACCAAAGAAAAATCAGTCCACAGTCACCATATTCCAGTTACTAAGAAACAAAATTGAACTCATGTCTCTTGAAATAATTTTTAGGTACACAAGTTAAAATAAGGTAGAGTTTCTAGGTAACACTCAGGCAACATGAAAATAAAATTAATCCTAGCATACAGCTTTCTCCTCATGGTTTCTGGGCATTTTGACTTTTGGAGACTGCTTTTTCATTCATTCATTCATATTTGTAATTTATTTACTATATTCTATTATATAATCGAGGCAAGGGATAAATAGGTAGAAAAAATGCAGACATAGAGGCCTATCATTTTCATTCCAAACTGGAACAAAATGTATTAATGTACAGGGATAGTCAAGAAT